TGTCGCCAGAGGTGGAGAGGCTTGGTGCCCAGGTACTCTTGTGCCAGGAGCAAATCCTGCAGGGCTATGGATCCCCACGAGTGGGTGGTGTGGGCTGTGCCTTATTGCACCCCACAGGTGCTCAGGGCATGTGGCTGCAGGACAACATGCCAGATCTGGCAAGTTTGGCCTTGTCAGGAGGTGGCAGGGAAGGCACCAGCACTGCATGGTACAAGGGGATGCGCAGTCTGCTGTGAGGGGTATCTGGATGTGAGGCAGTGCTAGACTAGGCTTTTAGTGATGGTACAGGAACCCCCATGCAATTGCCTTTCTTTCCTGGCCTGTTTTCCAGCCTCCATGGACAGCAGACAGGGCTGAGCCCTGAGAAGCCCTTCCTGGACCCCTGCCTGCCCGTGGGGCTGGAGGATACGGTGGCAAGGGGCAGCCAAAGCCTGTACATGAGGGGGCGAGGGGACTGGCTGGCCTGTGTGGAGCTGCTACAGCCCCTCCTGGCTGGGCCCAACAGCAGCCAGGCCTCCCTGGTGGGGGCCTACAAAGCACCCATTGACTTTGGCAACAGCGAGTTTTATGGCTTCTCTGAGTTTTTCTACTGCACTGAGGATGTGCTGCGCCTGGGAGGCCACTACAGTGCCTCCACCTTCACCTCTGCTGCCCGGGTGGGTGCTGCTCCAGCCTGGGGGCTGGGGAGCTGCTATTCCTGGGGCTGGGATGGAGCGGGGTCTGTTTCTCTGCTCTGAGCCTTGACTTCTCTGTCCTCCAGGAGTACTGCAGCCAGCGATGGGAGGTGCTGACCCAGCGTTTCCGCGGTGGCCTCTATTCGGCACATGCTGACCAGCACCGCCTGAAGTAAGCAGCTTTGCTGAGGGGGTGCCGTGGCTGGACCTCCTGTGGGGGGCTTTTACTGTGGTAAAGTACACTGGTGCAGGTGGCAGCATCTGGCTGATGCTCCTGCGTGCCATACCTGCAGGTATCAGTGCTTCAAATCGGCCTGGATGTACCAAGTCCTTCACCAGGGCTTCCATTTCCCCCTCGACTACCCCAGCCTGCGCACGGCCCAGCTGGTGTATGACCGGGAGGTGCAGTGGACGCTGGGAGCCATCCTCTACAAGACGCGGTTTCTGCCACTCAGGTACTGTTGCTGTGCTGTTGGCATCGCTCATGGAAGGGTGGTTGGGGAGGAGCAGGAGTTACCGCCCCAGGTGAGGGCTTTGCCCCCCCAGCAAGGGGAGCAGTGGCATGGACCCTGGTAGTACCCATGGCATCTCTCAGTCAGTCCCAACTCTCCTCTCCACAGGGATCTCCGGCAGGAGAGCATCCGGCAAGCACACACCTCCTGGCTGCGTCTCTCTTTTGTCTACAACCACTATCTCTTCTTCGCCTGCATCCTGGTCGTAGTGCTGGCCATAGTCCTCTACCTCCTGCGGCTGCGCCGCATCCACCGCCGGCAGCTGCGCTTGGCTCAGCTCACCCTGCTCTGGCTGGACAAAGTGGTGGTACCACCAGGTCAGGGAAATGGGCCGTGACACCAGCAGTACCCACCATCCAGTTGCACCAGCAGAACCAGGACTGACTGACAGCCTGGGCTCCAAGGGCTTAGACTCTTTCTTAAAGATCATCTCAACTCTGCACTCCAGAACCAGAGCCTGTGGGTTGAGGCAGCTATGGACACCGGTGCTTTCCTCTCTGCCTCACCCCAGCCTGAATCTGTACATTCCTTGGCCTCCGGCCTTTGCCTCACTACGTGGTGTAGAGCAAAGTCCTCTGCGGCTAGCAGGCTCAAGGCTGTAGCCCTGGCAGGTCCCTCAGATAAGCAGGACGTTATCACCAAGGTGGCCAACCCAGGGCTGTGGCCTGAAGCACTGGGCCACCCCATGACTCAGCCACCCGTTTGCAGAGCAGGCTGGTGAGGTGCTGTAGCTCATCACCCAGGGTGGCCTCTCTGCAGTCCCTTACAAGCCTGCAGCTGGAGAACAGCAGTCACCAGTAAAATTACTGCAGGAACCAGGTGAGCCACAAGTTCCACCGAGCTGCTCTGCCCAGCCCGGCCCCTCTTTGAGCATTCCTTAAGAGGTCTCCTGCGCTTTGCCGTGTCTTCCCCTCTTAGGACAATCCTCCCACGGTCCTAGCCACCATTCCAAGCTCAGCCCTGAGGGCTCAGGCTCAGTTCCTAAGGCACCACCAGAGTGGGCTGCCTTTGCTTTCATACATTCCCTCCCGGGCACATCTGCCCCGTGGTGTCCCGCACGTTAATCAGGCACTAGCACCAGGACCCATGGCTCTCTCCCTGTGAGCGCAGGCTGGGCCTGCCCATGGGGAACCACTTCACTCAGGCCCAGCTCACCACCCCATGGCAGGACTGGGCTGTGGCTGTGTGCACAGGCACAAGCCTTTCCCTAACACACCCCACACCCCCACCGCTGGGGCTGGAGCCCCTGATGACCCAATGAAGTTTTGTCACTTTTTACTTGAACTCAGCCGTTCCCATTCCTGTAGCAATAAAGAAACTCCGTGAGCCATCCAGCACCAGTCTCGTTTTCTAGGAAGAACCTCCCCAGCAGTGACAGCTCCTGGCTGGCACCATGGTAGGTGCCAGTGTGTCTGCACAACATTGCTTTGTGCCACCATGGTGGGATGATGGAGCTGCTTTCTTGCCAGCAGATGTTCTCTGAGAGCCCAGCAGGAGAGTTGAGCTCAACTCAGTGCTCTGACCCAAATTGAACTGTTGTGATCCCTGAAAACAGCATCCTTTGCTGCCCTCCTACCCCCTCCTAACACAAGGAAGTTGAGCCTGCCCACTCAGCCCCTGGATGATGTTGCTCCCTTCTTTTTACCTTATTCCCCACCCCAGCCTGGGAAAGGAACCACCAAGCTCTTCCAGCTGCTGCAGTGTCATGGGGATGGCCCCAGCACAGCTGCCTCCCACAAAGAGGGGCTGGGCAGGTTCCCCATTCTTCCTCTAGCACATGCCGTTTCCTACCTGTGAGCCTGGTCCTACAGGATGAGTGCACAGGTGGCATCAATGATAGAACTTTCCATGCATGAGCATGCTGCCAACCTCCTGCTTCGGCAGCTGAGGATCCCAGCCTTGATCTCATGGTGCAAGAGCAAGCTTAGGGGGAAGGGTCTGAGTAAGGCCAAGACTGCTCCTCAGCCTCAAAACAACAAATGACTCTGCCTCCAACATCACTTACTAGAAAAAGGACTTACTTTATTTCCACAACACAAGTTTAACAAACACAAACAAATAAATACAGATAAATTATTTGATAAGTAAGGGGAAATGTAAAACACAATGCCCTACTCAGTTCTCATAACCTGGACAGAGGCTGGGGGTTGGTGGTACCTAGACACTACTGCAGCACCCTCACTGCTGAGGTGGAAGGAGACACAGCATCCCTTAATCCCCTACAGCAGGCTGTCAAGCAGAACCCCCCACCGTGCACCCCAGTGCCTCCCTCATCACACCCAGGGGGTCTGCATGCTCCTCCAGGGTGAGCCCTCCCTTCTCACACCCACAGCCAGAATCTGTTTTAGCAAGGACCACCCTCACCACAGGGGACTGACCATACAACAGAGGATGCTATGGGCTCCTGCCTTCTCAGGCAGAGGGGCAGCTGGTGCCTGAAATGACCATGGATATGGTAACTAGTTGGGCAGCTTAGGGAGAAGGCGTTTCACTTAGCAGGGGGGTCTAGGGCTGAGTGAACTGGAGGGAGCAGGGCAAGCACTGCAGGGACAGGATCTGCTGGCACTACACACAGATCTCTCCCAGGATGGTGCTCAGTGTCAGTCACTGCAGCACTCCGCCAACTGAGGGGATCTCTCCCTGGTAGGGTGGCTGCTCCCAGGACCGGGCTTACCAGGCCCTTGTCCCAGGCAGGGGTGCTGCCTGCCATGCTCAGGAGCCCAGCCATCCTCAGTCCAGGTTGCAGTGCTCACGGTGTGCTGGGGCAGCAGGTCCAGCCTCTGTCCCAGCACCTCTGGGGGCTGCCTGGTACGGGAGAGTAGAGGCTGGAACAGCAGCAAGAGCTGTGAGGAGAAAGGACAAGTTAGGACCAAACTGCACCCACAAGGGAGCCCCCACAAAACCTAGAGAACCACAGGCTGAGGGAGAAACGCTCGGTTTGCTCAGGCCCAGTGCAGAACCAGCAGCCCCACTCTGAGACCAGCTCACCACAGCCACAATGCACAGAAGCCAAAGCATCACCTATCCAGCAAGGACCAGGTGGCAGCTCCCTCCCCAGCCAAACACAGGCAGGCAAGCAGGGACATCTCTGCCACCCCAGACCTCTGCTCACTCACGGTGACGATTCTGGGGGTGGGTCTCTATTCTGGCGCTGGCTCCTGGGGACTGCTCACTCCCAGAGAAAGCGCACGTACCAGATGGTCTCGTTCTTCAGCTGCGGCCCGAACAGGGGGTTGGCCTGGGCCAGGATGGCGATGAGCCAGCTGCAAAGGGACCCAACCTGCCGTCAGCCCCGACAGTACAGGAGCAGGGACCAGGATCCCGGGATGCTGCTGCCTCAAGGGGCTGGCAGAGGGAGTGCTGCGCCGGGGGGTGAAGTGCCGGGAGGGTGACAGGTCGCAGCCCGGGATCTGTCCCGTTCATCCAGGGGCAGGAGGCTGGGCAGCAGCCACTGGGCCCGGTAAAACCTCACGGGAGATGGATGTGTGTGTGTGTGTGTGGGCATCGGGGCCCGGTTCGAGGTACTCACAAGAGGTAGCAGCACACGGCAGTGGTGACCAGCATCGTGATGATGACCCTGCCGAGACACCGGCGTTAGGACGATGAGGCCCCGTCCCGGACCACCTGCCCCCGATATCCCTCCCCCCCCGGAGCCCCCACTCACC